GACCCGTTGTCGCCGGTAAAATGAACCGAATGGAAAAATCGGACGTCGGATGGGCTCATTACCGATTCGGCATGTGAATTGCTCAATTTGCAGTTGCAAAGGCAGGAACGAGCTCACAAGCATAGCACCAAAGGTGATACGAAGGATAAGAAATCGTTATATTGATCAGACATTTTGTAGTAATGACAAAATTAAGATATTTATTCGCAGTATTATTCAGCACTTGTCACGTATAATTTCGTATCGAAAACTTGTTTAATGCGGACAAACAAGACAATCTGATTATATTTTTTGAGCTATAAAACTGATGTTTATATTAAATAATATTAATACTGCATAAAATATATATTTTTTTAAAATTTATGTGATATTTTAATTAGTTTCTTATACCTGAGTTAAATTTCTTGAATGGAATATGAATATAAATTTGTACGAATAAAATATATAAAATTTATTTAAGTGAATTAATGTATTCTGTCGGTAATTTATTAATTAATCTATAACTTATTAAAAAATTTAGTTGGCAGATAATATTTCGATCGGTGTAAGGGCATTTCTCAATAATGACAATTTTGAATAAAAATGCACTATAAATAAATATTCATATAGATAAAATAAATATATTAATATATATTTTTATTATAAATAGAAAATTATTTTTGCGAAATGAAAAAAAATTAATTTTTTAAAGAAAAATGTATCTACATTAAAAACTTTGTTTTAATCTCGATATCGAATACTATCCAAATAAAAAACAATAACGAATATATAGACTGTCATAAAATTGCAGACTTATAGAAATAAATGCATATCGTCGTGAGAATCATAATTTAATTATGAAAAAAATAATTATAATAGTGGCTAAGAATACTTGCTATTTTTATATATTTTATTCGTTACAGATTTTTATTAATGAAGCAATTTTTACTATTCGCTAGCAATTTTATTTTCGGTTTTTACTCTTACTTATTTCTTGTTTTATATTATTTCATTATAAAATAAATTTTTTGCTAAATATTAATATTTTATGTGCAAATTTTGTCATACATTAAATATTAACTATTAGCATCTTTTAAATAATAAATATTTTTTTAGAAAAAATATAGACAACATATTTTTTAAACGTTTTTTTAAATCAATAATTAATGTTCATTTATGTTTTTATTAAATTTTATCATTTAGGTGCAATTATAATTATTAACAAACAAGTTTTGAATAATTTTTAAACAACTTTTAAATAATATACGATAAACGCCATGCATTTCTGCCATGGATAAGTGGCACTATCTGTTGCAAGTTGCTCTCACTATAGCATGGAATAGCATGGAATTTTACTTGTCGGTAAAGCATTTACTCGCAACTATTTACAATGCGTTCTTTCTTACCATGTAAAAAAGAGATAAAAAAATAATATATAATTCATACATTATACATATAAGTAAGATACATATGAATATATATATATATATCTAATAATGCTAGTAATTGTATCTAATATAATTTTTATGAATCTATTATTTCTCAAGAATAAAATAAAAAATAAAATAAAATAAAAAAAAACCCATAACGATGCGCAGCGATGGCGTTATATAGTTCACATCGAAATGTTAAATATAAATATATCAAAAAATTAAATTAAATATTTAAATAAAATATCCACAAAAATAATAAGTAATATTTCGAAAGCAATTTTTATGCATTTAATTTTTCTAAGATTCTTTAATAAGTTATGATTAATAAAATAATTATATAATTTCCAAAACAAAATTTAGTTAAATAAGCTTTTATACATATACGCAGTTTGATAAAAAACATCTCTAATTTATATAAATAATTCAAATAATTATCACACATATTTATCAAGACGAAATATTCTGCATACAAATATCAAACATTTTATTAAATTATATTTCATAATTTATTAAATAATATTAAATATTGTATTAAATTATATTTTGTAAACAATGTATATATGCATTATTACACGATGTTTGCATATAGGCTGCATTCAATATTTAATACTCAGTATAGAAAATCTATTAGGTATACGTTACGTATACAATTAAATTTTAATCGGCAGTGAATATTAGAACATATGCATTTATAGCATATCAAATGCTTGAGCATCGCGGGGGAAGAATTTTCATTAATATCAAGTAGCAAATATATAATAAATAATATATCACTCACCCATGGTTTCACCGTCGCCTGATGCCTCCCCGAGCCTCCTCGTCCTCTCTTGTTCTTCTATGGCACTCTCACACGCACATTCGCGAAAACGCAGTTAACCACAATTGACCATGCATCACCGAAATAACGCGGCACTTTGTACGGCACTCCCGATGTTAATTAATTAAACGCGATGCACTTAAAATTATACCGAGCTAAAACATCAATGCAGCAGATTCATAGATATAATATTCTATATCGGTATGAGCAAGTACACGATACGATCGCAAGAAGTGATCCGTTCGACACTAGTGGCGTTCCGCGAATTAAAACAGTGGACGAACGTTGACGGTTGAACGGTAAGCGATTCGAAAATGTGACCAACTTCACGCGCCAAGATCATCTATAGTATCTATACTCTATACTGTCGCGTCGCGATGCTATCGTATTTGATGTTTCTATTTTCCGCATTTTGAATGATGAATTATATGCTCTCGCGTTTATTTATCCATATTGCACAATGCAAATATATATCAAATAATAAATATTTGTGGAATATAATATCCAAAGATACGGATTATGGTCATCGCGTTTTGTCTGTTACTCGCGCAACGAATTTCGATGGAATGAATTTCGCGAAATGCGTGTAATGACGAATTGATGAGTAAATTTACGTAATCGGCTTCTAAAATGCCATTAGACACCGAATTGATAATGACTGCACTTACTAATTAAAGACTTTGTGACACTGCTTCAGAGATGCTTCTGTTTTCGCGACGCGCGGAATAACGACTAATTCAGAAGTCGACAATTTCACTTTTATGCCATACGATGTGAATTTAGTCAATATAAACGTTGATTATATGGTGGATTATTCAAAAATATACGATCCAATAAATTTAATACGACTTTCGCGTATGCATTTCGAATGTATAAATTAAATGATACTTAAAGTACATACATGAATTAACAAACAATTAACAGACATTGATATATCTATTCTAATATTTGCGTTATTAACGACTCGCGTATTTCGTGCTTCCCGGAACGACGAAGAAAATTCAGATTGGAAAATTCAGGATACAAGGCGTTATGTTTGTCTTAATTATCATTGAAGAGACAATTATCGCCTGTTATTATCATTGATTAAAAGTAATTTACAAATTTTTCAAATCCTCGACTCGAATTTGTTCAACGAAGAAGCGTGAGAAACTATTTCGACAAACGTGCGGCTGTCGATTCGCTTGCAAGGCTCAGTTTCACACTCATGGTTAACTCTTAAATTCTTAACCGAGGTTCAACTTGTTTCTCATCTTTTTCCAATTCTAAAATTGAAAAGAGACAATGAATAAGTTGAACCTTGGTTATGAGTTAACCGTCAGTTGTGGAACAATAATTACACTTTTAAGTCTTTAATCGCACTTGTGAATCAATCTCACCAATCGGTAATCGCTAAATTTCGGTATAATTGCGTCTTGAGACTTTGATACGCAGAGCGGTGCGTGCCACTATCGTCTCGCTCGCGTCATGCCGTACGAATGATAGATGATAGCGCGACGACCTTGCGTCGTGCGTGAGAACAACGGCCGCGCCGTACACACCTACCTACCCTATTTACGCCGTAACCATTCAAATCAAACGAACGTTGCCTTTATTACATCGTTTCTGAGAAATGTTTATTTCACTCTAGAAGATATTTTTACGCGGAATCTTGTTCGTTACATTTCACAGCTAATCTCTTATCACACATATTGTACTTTAATTGCTTATTAGCGCGTTAAAGTTTAAATCTGTGATTCATGTTAGATTGTAAGATGGCATTTTATTCGTGTGTGTGTGTGTGTGTGTGTGTGTGTGTGTGTGTGTGTGTATGTGTGAGAGAGATGTATTTTGACTTGTGTGTATGTATTTTAATCTCTTGATTTTTTGTAAATTTTACACTGTAATTTTGTCCTCGAATTTTTCGAGACATCCATAAATTTAAAGTACTTATTAAGTTTCAACATATTTAAATATAGTATTATACATATCAATTAAAATGTACATATATTCTTCTAACATGAATTGTATTATATATATACATATTTCTTATTTATTGTTTTAAATAAGTTTCCAGAATCTTTTTATTTTATATTTTAAATAAGTCGTATAAGCTTTTTACCGATTCCTATGATTTTATATTTTAAATAAGCTTTTGAAACTTATTTTATATTTTTTATTTTAAATAAGTCGTAACAATAATAATTTTATCTAGCCATGATCGGCATTATATATGGACAAAAGTTTAAAGAATTTTTGAAACGCAGAATAATTTGCAGCAATAGTAGTGTCATAAATTAATTTTTAGCTGAAAAATTAAATAACGATTAACGAGATATTTAATACATTTAATCAAAGTTGTATTAGCACAAATTGTTTCGCAATATTAAGAAATTTGCAGGTATCTTTATATAAAGGATGTATAGAATATTATCAACCTTTTTTAAGTGTGAATCATTTAAAAGAATAATAAAAATTTAGACTTTTTAATATCAAAAATACTCCACACACGCAAACAATTACTGATTACGTTTACAAGAACCGCGTGAATAATATAAGATTTAACAAGTGCTAGAGATGCCACAAAGCAAAGCGCGAAATGTACCCGTTTGTCAAAAATATGAATAATTGAATAAATCGTGAATATTTTTCATACGCAATAATTGGGTGCTCGAGCGGCGCTCAGTGAACAGCGAGGAGAGGGGTCACGCGACAAACACGGTGGGGGAGCGTGCCGTGCGGCGCGGTGGTTAACTACGTCATCACTTCGGTATTCGCTCGGCGATCTCGAAGAGAGGCGGACGTGTTTACGAGTCGCTCTGGATGTCGCATTATTAAATGAAAATTAGATACCTACGAAGGCCAATTACGTAAGGTTGCTTAAAACTAAAGATTATATTAAGGGTTATAATAGGTTTTGTTGCACGATTTTTGCTTTATTTCTTTTTATTACGCACATACATAGCTCGTGAATATTTGAGATTCTTATTATTAAATATTTTAAATTGTGGCTTTTTATCATTTTGAATCATATAATTCTGTTATTTTCGTGTTACTCCGCATTCTTAATTAACGGGAAAAGTAACAGATAAATTATATGTACTTAAATTACACATCTCTAAATATATGTGCATGCTATTTATACATATTATTTTATTTAATCGAAATTGTTTTATAATTTAAAATAAATTTTTGCATTTATATCTTTATCCTTTTATGTAAAGGATATATGATATATTGTTAATCTTTATTTAATTGTAAATCACAAAAAAGAGCAATGAAAATTGAGATATAATGTTAAGATATCAAAAACATTTCACGTGAATTTTATAAGAAATTAATATAAGAAATTATATAAGATTATATAAGATTTATTACTACAATATATTTATTAATACAATTATATAAGAAAAATCACACTAGTAAAAATCTCTTTTTACTTCTTGCCTTTTGTCAGCACATTGTAATTGATACGAAATATTTAAAAATATAAAATGAACGTTAAATATGTTCCTTGGTGTATCACAATATAATTATGATATCACGTTAAACTCGCGCCGCTAAAGCTAGATACATATAAGAAATTATTTCATTAATCGGAGAACATTAAAAATATAAAGAATACATTATTTTATTTCGTAATATGTGTTAATATTTCGATAGTTGGACGGTTAATATTTGGACGGTTGGCGGCCTTGGGGTGGGGATGGCACGGGGTGGTACGTAGCGGCGCGTCACCGGTCACCTTTACGCGTAGTTATCGCGCAGTTGTTTTCTTACCGAGAGTACAAGTAGGTATAATCGTGTCGCGTGCAGCTTTTTTTCGCATTACTTTTCGAAATCTCATCGCGAAGAATACCAAATGTAATATCAAACGTTATATATATAGACAAGTAACCGTGTTGCGTGTCGCTCTTCTTCACAGTTCTGTTTGAAACATATTATAATCGCAAAAAGTGCTAGACATAACACGAAATGTTGTATTTTATGAATATTCACATAATATGATTACTAGTATTAATTATTCATAAAGTATATATATATATACTTTATGAATAATTAATACTAGTAATCATATTATGTGAATATTCATAAAATACAACATTTCGTGTTATGTCTAGCATTTTTTGCGATTATAATATGTTTCAAATAGAAATGTGAAGAAGAGCGACCGCAACACGGTTACTTGTCTGTACGAACGATACAGACAAGTAAAAAACAATATTAATATGAGCCATAAAAAAGCAATATTAATATGAATTATTCGTTAATATATTTTCATGCAAATAACGCAATTCCTTTCACAATTATATAGTTTAATAATTTAATTAATTTTTTATTTTTGTGTTCCTTTCGTTATATGATCCGTTTAAAAATTAAACGTAACTTTGAAACTATTTGTCGATAACAAAAGAAATATTTCTCTTTTTTATTAAGCTCATTTTATTGAATCTCTAATCATATCTTACAGACATCATCTATAAATATATAAAAGATTCAACCCTTTTATCTGCTCTGAATTTATTTTGCAATGATGTGTTTGATATTCATTTCTAAAAATTAACCGATTGCATAGTAATTGCATAGTAATATAGATAATAGCTATATATTACATTTTTCAGATTATCTTCCCTCTCACGGGTACAACCTTGACGTGATGGAAGGGCTCAGTACCCAGAGGATATTTATACGAAAAGAACGAAAAGAAAGAAGTTTTTCTCAAGTATTTAAAAATTGTCGGATCTATCTGAATGATATTTCTAGATAAATTTTTAGACACTTAAGTAAAATCGTTCTCTTCGTGTAAAAATCCAATGAGAAAGCTAACGTACCCTCGTCGCCGATTTATTTGAAAATGAACGAACCGCAGCCGGTTCGTCGCGTCGCGCGTTTGTTTCGGGAGTGCCGTTCAAGTTATCGGATTCAAGTTACAATCCGCGCGCGATTATAGTACATTATTCGCGAGTGTTTTACGCGAATGTCCTGTGCGAGAGGATGTCAACCCAATTCTGAGAGGAGGAGGAGGTCTAGGAGAGACATCGAGCATCGGCGGAGCAACCTTGCGGTAAATATCATTTTTTTATTTATTGCAAAATCAATATCTTTTTTCTATTTATTCGCTTTATTTTGACTTAAAAATAATTACAGAAAAAGATAATTAGAAAAAAGAATTGTCTTAAAATTATTTTGAAATTTTATAAATATCTATTTTTAACAATAATAAATAAAATTCCTTATTTTAAAAATATTTTAATTTAAGATCTGAATGTGCTCGTTACTGATCGTTTATTATATATTGTTTTGACGTATTTTCAAGATTTTTTTAAGAAAATGTCCGAAAAAAAATATTTCATATATAATTATATATGGTTATATAAAATTATATAAAATTGTACATATTTATATATAAAATTGGCATATTTTATATATAATTATATATATTATATCTATTATGACATTTTTTTTCGGGTATATAATTATTTTTATTAATATCTAACTGAATTAAAACATTTGATGTTTATAAAAATTATATATTTTGAAAATTATGTGGTTATTTTTAAAAGAATTACATTTAGTAAAGATTTTTTTTAAATATTGATTGATTTTTCCTGCTCTGTTTTAATTTAGATTTTATATTTTTTTTATAGAATCATCGTAGCGACGTTGCAGATATAACTCCGCTGTTGTGCATCAAATTGGTGAGTGATGAATTAATATTTTTACTGAGGTAACGAATGTGTGATAATTTTATTAATATACTACATATCTAGATGCATTAATTTAATAAAAACATATACTTGTATAAAATATACTTGTATACTTGTAAAGAATATACTTGTATATTTTTGTAAAGAATATACTTGTAAAGAATATACTTGTATATTCTTTACAAGTTATTGATATGTATATTGATATGTATTCTTTATAATTATTATAGCATTCCATGCATCTGTTGCCTTAAAATGGATGAATTAGAACAGATTAGGATAAATTTAATCCTGAATGCTTCTTCTTATGGAATTTATTGTACATGCACTGTAAAATTTATAATATCATGTTAAAACAAAAGATAATAAAATATTTGTATTTTTTAAATACATGAAATATAGAAAATTAAAAAATATAAAAAATATATATAAAAAGTAAATTAAATTGTTGTTTCTAAATATAATATTGAAAAGTATTTATTACAAGATAATAAATATTGTTTTATTATTTTTTCTACCTTATCTATTTTCAAATATTTATTCAGAATTAAATTTTATATAAGTTGGTGCGGAAAAGCAATATATATGCATACACATATATATACATATTGTTTTCTATGATATATTCCTTGTATCGTTTTACACTTATTTGTATACATTATTGTACATTACTAATGAAATAACAAATATTTTTATATAGCGCTTTTGTCACAATTTATTAATCTCGCTTTTTTATAAAAGACATTTTACGATTGTGCTATTTATCTCAATGCACTGACTTTAACCTAAGATTTTATAACTTATCCATTCGTAGTAACTAGATTTTATATTAAATAAAGTAGTAACATGATGTAAGATCCAATATATATTTTGTCAAAAAATAGAAGAATTTATCTCATAATTACTTTAAAATTGCGTTCAAAGTATTGCGTCACTTAAAATATTTAACTTTGAAATAATAAATTATACAAAAAAATGATTCTAATAATTTATAAAATACAAAGAGATATGTTTATTGATGCACACTGAAAAATATCAATCTACTGCTAAGAAAAGTGGTTACTCAATTTATTTTCTTTCTTTTAAATAACGGTTATTTTTAACAAAGAATATTTTCTTGATAATAATTTTAAAATACTTATTACAAAATTTAGAAAAACTTATTATTTACTCAAAACAAGATTTATTTTCTTTTGGAAAATATTATAAAATTGATCGAAGAAACGAACTTTTTATAATAAATAGATCGAATTTGTTTTAATTTAATAAATTTGATTGAAGTATACCTTTTTTTTTACTAGGATTCAGAATATATTTTCAATTTTGTATAAATTTAATGCTTCTGAACGTATGATACATTTGTGAATATAAACTTTTGAAATGAGTAATTATTACTTGCACAGTGTAATTATTACTTTGAGATGAGATTCTTTATGTAGTAATGTTTATATTAAAAAAATTAATCTAGTTTCATAATATTCGGGACTTTTGAAATAAAAACGTTATTGACATAAATTTTAAAATTTTGATGATTTATAAGCGCAACTGTACTCGAATATTACATTAAGTTGATTTATTTTTGTGTGTTATACAATACGATATGAGATATTTTTATAGCTCTTCTGTACAAATTTCGGTCAAAATTTTTTGCCTATGTATTTGAAATAATTATTCTATGCAATATCACGTAAAACTAAAATAATTAATCCATTTAAATTAATTATTATATTAATTATTATATACTTAAAACGGGATATTATTAATATGCACCTAATACCTATACTATTATTAGGAAAATTATTCAGTATTCATCTAACACTGATCAACATAGTATACCTGTTTTAAGTATGGAAATAATTAAAGAACAACGTAGTAAAAAGTGAGATTATTTTGAAAATATAAATTTAAAACGTAGAAAAAGAAGAGCATAAGAAACCACAGCACAAGTTATAGTTTGTGATATTTAATTATTATTTCATTAATTAAAACATTAATAATGTATAGTTTGTGATATTTAATTATTATTTCATTAATTAAAACATTAATAATGTATAGTTTGTGATATTTAATTATTATTTCATTAATTAAAACATTAATAATGTATAGTTTGTGATATTTAATTATTATTTCATTAATTAAAACATTAATAATGTGCTGTGGTTTCTTATGCTCTTCTTTTTCTACGTTTTAAAATTATAACCACATTAGTTTTCACGTTGTATATAAATTTAAAATCTTTATTATTAAGACAATAAAGAGTATTTAAAATAACTATATTGAAAGGAAAGTAAATAATTAATGATAATTGAATAAAAAAAATATAATTTCTTAAGAAGCAAGCTGACGTTATTTAACGTCATTTCGACAATAAAATATCATTAAAGATGTCATTTTAAGACTAAAACAATGACAAATAAACAATAATCAACTTATTATAAATTTCATTAAAGCTACTACTGTATATAATACTATATATAATATAGTAGTCATTTCCAATTATGATGGAAAATACTTTTTTAAGGCTCCTCAGTGATACATTTTATAGATATATGTATGTAGTTTGATTTTTCAAATGTTACAATTTTTCATATGTACGCTCTTTTTTATCTAATTACTTTACAAGTAATTATTATATTTAAAAAAAACGCGAATAACAATAAAAAGTGATACTATTATCTACTTAAAAATCTTATTCATTGGTACGCGAGTAAAAATGTTATTGGTGATTTCAGCGAAGACCAAACCGAAAGTTTCTTCATAAGATGCTTGAAACTCCTTAAAAATTAAATCCGAATTCTGATTGAGGAATTTATGCATTTGTTCACCTGTAATCAGTGAGGAGTATGGAAACATTAATACAAGAATATATTAAAGAATATATTAAAAAATATATAAAATACGTTCAATTTATCATCTTTTTAAATTAATTTAAAATATTGAGGTATGAATTAATAGTAATTAAGACACTAGGAAATTAATATATTTTTTAAATATTAAGCTTAAAAACACATTTATATCTTTTTATATTCATATCTTTTTCTTGTACTTTTAAATTAAAAGTTAAAAAATAAATACGGTTATTGACTTTGTACAAAAATATTGGTACATTTACGTAAAATCTATTATAAAATGTATTATATTATATATTATAAATTTACGATAATTTATTTTTATGTATTTGCAACAAAATAATATCAATTATGTTACCGAGATATTGATTAAATAAGATTTAATACCTAAAATAGGATCTCCGTTAAAAAGATTATCGAATTGTAGGGTTATGTGATCAGGTGAAAATTTGATAATATACTTCGTCAGTCTCATATAAATATCTCCATCCTTTTCAAACTTTTCATAATATGCTTCGTGTTTCGTCCTTAAATCATCTAAAATAAAAATAAATCGACTTAGCAAAAAAAATATACTGTTAAAATTGTTTGTAGATGATTTATAATTTGCAACAAAAAAATAAGATAAAATTTTATAAGATAAAATCTATTATATCATATGTGTCTATTATATCAGTGTAAGAAAAAATCTTAATCTACTAGGTCATCATTGTAAAAAAAAATTTTAATCTACCTAGATTTAAATTGCAAATAATAATGCAACAATTGTAAATAATAATGCATGCAGTTACGAGAAAACATTATAATATTTACGCATAGATATGTTGCATTTGCCCTCTCCTCGGATTGGTAGTAATAGAATCTTGCCTTCGAGTTTGTAATCGGCAATAAAGTCCACTCGGGTATTAAAAGCCTCGGATGTAAATATTAAATTGTCCCAGTCTACCCTAAAGAAAATAATGATTAATATATTGGTTATTAGTACTAATTATATAATGATTAGAACATAAGATTCCTTATTTAAAACTCTCTCATTGAAAATTTCTACTTTTTTTCATATATAATATCTATTTAATTAAATGTATTTTCTATTATTTATTTTATCTGCATCAATTGATTTTACATTGAAATGTTCGATTTGATAGAGAAAGTTACATACTGATAATTGTTCAATTTCAAATTCTTCGTGAGTCCATGTATCTTGATATTTCGATATTCTTGTTTGAGCGAAATCGAGCCCTCCGAACTACCAATTTTTATGCTGTCAACTGCTAGAGGTTCAATAGGCAAAATTTTGAAGCTCTTCAGACCTAAACATGAACGTGACAGATACTGAATGTGTAAAGTCAATGTACATTTTATTCTAATGCATTTTGATTCCTTTCTTTTATATAACACGCATAATTACTTCATATTGCTCTACTGTAAGATGTAATTTGCAGAATTAAAAAATGCAACTAATAAAAAGATAACTTATAACTAATTATAGCTTTATTAATTGCATATTATATATTATATCTTATGTAACTTTTAGTGTAAAATAATCTACTTAAAAACACGTTAAAAAGAAAAAAATGCAATATCAAATATACCAATATCCTTTTTACAAAAATTATTTATACCTAAGAATACTTTACAAAAATAATGACTAAAATTGATATAATTTAATAGTATAAAACTGTCAAATTTTATAAGAGAGAGAGAGAGAGAGAGAGAGAAAGAGAGAGCGAGCAATGCAAAGTTAATTCTATATATAAATAAATACAAATATTTAATATTTCTGCAACAAGTACATAATTTACATTATCATCATGATGTAAATGCATTCAGAAAAATTATGTAATCATTTTTTGTATAACTATCTTTTGACGGAAGATTTAAATTAAGAGATACAAAAGTTGCTATGTTACGTCTGAAAAAGCTGATCAATCTGATAAAAAATATACTGTAGCGGTTTTTTCACAATTTTACTATTATATATTTCCGTATACATCTTTCACAATGATCACCAAATTTTTCGTATGTTGGTAGAGATCGGACTAAAAAACTGAGTCCTTTAAAAAATCCTTTACCATTTTGCAATTTTCGTAATAGTTAATGAGATATTAATTACTAAAAATCGCTGAATATTAGTTTTCAATAATTTTTTACTCAAATACTATCAATTTTACAAAAACGGTAAAAAACAAAAATTGTTTATATTCCTCTCATAAAGTTCTGAGAATTTTTTCAGAATTTTTAAATACCGTATTTTCTCATATTGGTAAAAATAAAATGCAGTATTAAAAAGTTGATAAAAAATTCTGAAATAATTCTTAGAGTTCTATGAGGAGAAAAAGGAACAATTTTTATCTCTTGCAGTTTTTCTATAAAGTTGATAGTATTTGAGTAAAAAATTATTGAAGATCAATATTCGTCAATTTTTAGTAATTAATACCTTGTTAACCATTGCGAAAATTGCAAAATGGTAGACTTTTCAACTTAGTTTAATCCGCTCTATCTGCCCATGAAATATTATATATAATTTGGTCATTATTCTGGGACATCCTGTATATTTGACGCGTTTTTTAGCTATATGATATTGTTATTGTTTTAGCGAAAATAATTAAAATTAATTATTCGTATTCTGTACAAATATGGAATAATAACTTGCAAATATATTTTTACAAGCGTTAATTTGCATAATTTATACCGTTTCAATGTAATTGTAATTACGTGTATTATCGTAGAAATTTATTAGACGTGTATATAGTATAAGATAGCATAATAATTCATGTCACTGAACGTAAATTAAAGTTATAGATATCTGATGATCATGCAAATTGCGACTTTTACAACTCTGGTGAGTGTATGCACTTGGAAATTATTTTATAGTGTAAACAACAATTGAGTTTCAACTATTTGTTTGTCGTCATAACTTTTCGAAATGAGAAATAATTGACTATTGTAATCGCGAAGTAATTAATAATTTCTTAAAATATTTTTGTCTCAAGCTGTAACTCAAGCTGTAACTCTTTATTAACTAATTATATAATTCGTAAACATCTTTCATGATAACTGTTTACAATTTGGCTTTTTCTAGTGAATAGGAAAAAGTGATGTATTTTAAAATATCTTGTTAAAATGTATATATTTTTATTAATCTAATAAGAAAAAGAATAAACATTATATTTTCTTTGAAAGAAACGGATATTTATAATGTTATATCTTTGATGAAATCATCACCGAAAATACTTGATCGCTTTAATGAGAATCTAAGAGCTATTATAATACATTAGTAAAAGTAATTCAATGAATCGCTTATATGACTCATTATTTAGGAGACTCATTATTTGTCAGAATATTATTTATGTTGTTAGAGCTATAATAATTAATAATAAATTAATAAAAAAATATATTGATCACTCTTTTATCAAAAACATTGAAAAATACATAAGAAAATCTTTACAAATTTTAAAATTATTAAGAGAATAACCTTTATATAATATACAAAATATATCGAAGAAAATATATTAAAGATATATTAAAAATATTTTTTATTTATAAATTTTACAATCTCGGTGAGGTATAATTTAAAAAAGTCTCGGCATTTGATATGTTTTGAATGTGCATGGCAACTATGCTTTTTTTTTTCAATTCGTAGCATTGAATACCCAGATAGCTACTGGACATCCCAAGAATGTCTATTTTAAGTCCAAATCACATTCACACGTCCATAGGCATAAAATGGAGTGTATTCTGTTTCACGCATAATGTGCATGATATATTATTTATCCTTGTTTAATATTCAGTGATCAACGAAGATAAATGATGCATCATGCGCATCATATATGAATCGGATACATCCATGAACAATCATCAGATGTCTGTCCCAGTAAAAAATTTTTCATGAATATGTACAAGTATGTATAAATAAACATAAATATTCATAAATATGTATATTATATATAAAAAATTATATATAAAAAATTATGCATAATTATGTATAAGCAAATTTTACATTTTTCTAAATTTGTTTTTTTTTTAAACAAACAATGCGAAAATTATCCATTATTAATTATTTTTTATGTTTTCACATTAGGAATGTGCGATCTCCATTAATTGAATCAATTTTCAATCGGATTGATTGAAATCGATCTACTAAAAAATCGGATCTGAATGAATCGTTCTGTTGGGGATACAATCAAAATTTGTTAGTAACATCGCAGTGAGATGTGACAATGGAATAGATGTCGAATCAAAGTCACTTTGATGATTTCAGCATTGAATCGATATTGATTCCATTGTTATTTCTCACTGATTGTGAGATATAAATATATAAATTCAATAAAAACAATTAAAACATTTTGATTTGCCTCCGAATAATTAATAGTAAAATAATTTTAATTTAAAAACCTAGATTTAAACTAACATCTGTAATTCTGATGATAAAGTTGCAAGTACTGACGTAAAATCAGTGAAATATTGTATTAGGTGTTGGAATTAATTCGTAGCGTTTTACAAGTGATGGGAAGTACTTTCATTAATGTATTTTTTAATGCTCATGTGAAATAAATAACATTCTTTCATTAAAAAACGCTACGAATTAATTCCAACACCTAATATATAAACGCGTTAAATTCAGTTTTATAACAATTGACAATCGGTGTTATAAATTAGAATTTAACTAGCATTTATTTATACATTTTGTCAGTAATAATTATTTGTTGTAACTATAGATATTAAATCCGATTAATATTAATCGGTAACGTGTAAACGTAAGCAGTGTAGGCATAGTAATAATATTATTACAACTTTGGATTCTTTGACATGACATATAGGTCTAATTTTCAATAAAATGATAGAGATTTAAACGAAAATTAAATCTTTTTTTATCATATATATATATATACACATTAACTATTAAGACTGGAATATGTAAGCTTTAACGTAATTAATGCAAATCAATAGAAAGCAACAAAGTGAAACAAGATATATTAAGGAATTGTTTATATAAAAATTATAATAATCAATTTTTTTAAATATTACTTATATATTTATTACAATTTTTATATAAACAATTTCTCAATATATGATTCTTTTTCACTTAGTTTCTATTGATTTGCATAGATCAACCCAGACAGCATATGATATCATGCTAACATTCAATATTTTTATTGAATGAACTATGATCATACTGAATAAATTAGAAATGTTAATGTGACGTCTCAGTAAATCATTTTTTTGTGTATGGTCAAGATGTATTAAATATAATAACTAAACTTCAATTTTGATACTAAATGTACCGTTATTATACCCAAGACAAACTCACAACGTAAAATGCAGAACCAACGCTGCCTGTTTCATTTTCTATAAACATGCACTTATAATCCAGAAAAGAGCTTCCATTTTTTCTTGTCTTTTCTATAGTTATAGTTTATTATTATAGAAATTGTTTTTTGAAATTATATTTTACATTCACATTTGTGGTGCTAAAATTCGTAAGTGCCGGAACATGCGGCGGTCATAACACTATCAGTGAGTGATCCTTCTTTGCCGCTTTACCACAGGCATGTGCAGGTGTGTGAGAGCCTGCGCACAATTAAATTAGGAACAGGAATAGATATTACAATTTCAATCTATCAGATACCAGTTACACCGGAATACACGATTTCTAATAGATTGAAATCTTAATATTTATTCCTATTCCTAATATTTTCTTCATTGCGTAGAGCCTGAATCACGAGGCATAAACATGAATAATAAATCTAGTCTTAAAATAATTCATCACAAAACAGTAAATGTATTGCGACATCTGTTTTTTACATAAAAATCTTTAAATTCATAGTTTTAAATTCTTCAAATTCTACTCTCAATAATTCTGTAATTTATAGATTTCAAGAACAACAAAAATCGATATTAAATACTAATCCAATGTTATATATCATGTATCATTACATCTTTGTTTTCATTGCAGCTATATTATGTATATTAATGATTTAACACAATAATTTAAAGTGTTATTCTATATTAACACAGATTTTTATTATATACGTCTAAAAGTAGAACTAGATAAAATAGATTCTATAAACAAATAACCTTACAATTATATATAATTCTGTATATATATAATTCTGTATAATTTTTCTATAAACAAATCAAATTATTAACAAATAGTATGTTTCACAAAATTATGTTAAAATTTTACAATATTTAGAAAACCTGAATAATTATAATTTTGCAATATTATTTATAAGTTAGTGTTCTCATGTGTTAAAAGGATTACTTATTTTTAAAAAATTCTGATTAATGTATAA